TTGGTGCCTCATTTGGTTGGAGCACCGTGCCCTGCACCAAATGGTTGCTGCTTCCATTCCAGGTCAGGGCACGTACGTAGGTCACAGGTTCGATCCCAGGTAGGGACGCGTATGTGAGCCACTGATCAATGTTTCTCGCATAGGAACTTTACCATAGTAACGAACCTCATATAATTCAAGATTTACCTTGAATCTTTCTAAAAGGATTTTGTACATAAAGTACCAGAATCTCAAAATAATGTTATCTCATCTGAATAGACCACAAATAACTAACCAAAACCAGCATACAGGGGTGTGTGTGTGTGTGTGTATGTGTGTGTGTGTGTGTGTGAAATTTGCTTTAAGTGGAAGAGAAGAGGAAAGCAGGATTTTGGCTCTTACCCCACCAGTGGTGAGAGGGATACATGGAAAGTGTTTCCTAAATAATCGTAACAATAGGATCTATAAAGTTCATAATTACAGAATTTTAATTGTATTTTTCCAGGGTGGTGGATCTTTCAACCATTGCTGTGTGTCAGGTAGATTCAGCTGGTTAGGACAGAGCATAAGCAGCCCGTTACCGCCGTTTCCTCCTTTATTTCTAGTGTGGAAAACTGAAGGGATGGTTGTGTTTCTTGCCCTATGTAGACAGATGTCTATAGGTTTGGTGCTAAGATGTTCAGATCCTGTCATTCCCTGCCGATTTTTTCTCTTATTTTTCCACTGCCTGCACTCTAAAGCAGACTGTTGCAGAAGAAACGGAAATCGAAGGCACCAGAATCACGTTATTAGGCAGCACGGCTCTTTCCACCTTAGTGCCCTCACTTCTACAACAAAGTGATTGCATTTCTAAAGGGTTTTTTCAGCTTAAAATTTATAATCCTTGGCTCTGGCATCAGATGGTATGGCTCAGGCTTCATTAGGGAAATTCATGAAAGAAAAGTCCCATCTCAGGAAGATATATCTTTATTACATAGCTTTAAAAGGTCAAGAAACTACTTTAGAAAAGTTTTTCTTAGTAACCTATCACACAAACTTATAAAATACTCAACCCTGTGTTTTTGAGCCAAGAATCTCTTTGTTGAGTCAATTTGATTCAACAAATGTTTATAAAGGGTCAGTTATGCACAAAACACAGAACTGGGCCATGCAAAGAATCGAAGGGTAAACCTGTCCACTCACCAAATATCTGTTAAGCATTTGTGCCAGTCCCTGTTCTGGGCACTGGGTGTGGCAGTGAGGAATCTGAGCGCTGTAGCTGTGGAGCTTGTCTTCTAGCAAGTGAAATGTGAGGTCTGCTCTCAAAGAGTGGAGTATCGGGATGGGCATGGGCCCCAAATCACTGTATATGAACTGTGAGATCAAGGAGCACCTACAGGAGATAAAAGATTCAACTGAGAGGCTGAGAGAACTAGGTGCAGGTTGAGGAGAGGGAGCTGAGGGTGAAGCTGTCTGCAGACCAAAGGAGAGTGCAGAAGGTCCTGGAAAGTGGATCACTGGAATGAAGCAGGCAAGTTAGAAGGCATCCCAGTAGTGTTGGCCAGGGGTGTCTAGGAGTGTGAAGCTAATTTATGTAATAAAGACATGACGATAATTGAGCTCTTCCGTTCCAACGGGCACTTCCTTGGGAAACTAGGGACTGCCAGAACCCTTCTCGCCGGAGGGCCCGTCCGGGCACCTGGGGGTGGCAGAGCAGGCCCAGCCCGGGCCCAAAGAGCAGCTAACCCTCACCCTTCGGTGTCTCTCGCTCCTTCACTCAGTACTACTTATGGAATTCATTTTTAATAAAATGAAGATAACATCTAAGTTCATGTAAGGTCTTGTGAACTTACCTATAAATCAGAAAATCAAAAAAAACCTCAGGTAGCTACGTTTTGAAAGGGGGGCTGATAGAACCACAAAGGAACTATTCATGCACCCATTCGTAGCTATCGTCTGAATTAGAAATGTTCGCTGCTCGTCTGACAGCTTCTAATAAATGCTTTTCAGGAGGGCAGGTTTCATTTGCAAGGGTTTAGTGGTAACCTGAAATGGTTTTCTCTGTGTTTCAATAACTGGAAAAGAATGCCTTGGAAATTAATTACATGACAACAAGCGCTCTGTGGTCGCTTCATAACTGACCACCCGCCGCCTCAGTGCTGACTCCCAACTCTTACGGACTCAAACTAAAATGCGCTCAGCTACTTTTTCCTCCTGTTTTCCCGCTCAGACATCCACATGTCCTCTCTTTCACCAGCCTTTGCCCTCACTTTCTGACTCTCCTCTATTTGAATAACATTTGGCGTGAATTTCATTGTTTCTGTTGAATTTCTTTCCTCTGTTGGGGGCTCTTCATCCTAAACCCTTACCGCACAGTGTCACAGAGAACTAGACCTGCTGAGCGAGGGTCTCTGTCCCTGAAGGCTCTGGGCTCCATAGGGAGGGAGAGAGATGAGGGTCCTGCCCCCATCTGAGTAGTCGATGTTCCTGCTAAGGGCTGGAGCAATTTTGGTGGCCACTGTTCTAGTAAATAGAATATAGGCTAGTCCTGGACCACTTACTTTTGCCTTAGAGACAGTCTCCAACTTAATTACTATCTGAGAAACCACACAGCCAGTCAAATAAGTGTAGGTAGATTAGACAATATTTACAGAACCTGCTCGTACAAGACCCTCCTAGGAATCAGCCCTCCTCTGCATTCCTCCAACAGCCGAGCCTGAGCCAGGGGTTTGCGTACAGTCAGTTTACTCGGGAAAGTGATCCAGGCAGTGCAGTGCTGAACAGAAAGTGTGAAAAAGGAAAGGAGGAAAAGCCAGTGTAGGGGTCCTTGCAGAGGAGCCACCCTATGGGTGACGTGTGTTCCGCCTCACCAGGATCTTCTGGAAGGTCTCTGGGAACTATACACCCAGGAGGGAAAGGCAGGAGCATTTATCCATTGATTTAGGACTGATGGGTGATCCTGAGTGGGGACACTGGCACCTGTGACAGGGTGTTGACATTGCCCTTTCCTGCAGGATGCCGCTCATCTGCACCTTGCTGCCCTCATTAGCTCACTCTCCTTGCACCTCTCCAGAGGCTGTAGGTGCACCTGTCCTGTTGGAAGTGATACAGCATTTCCTCCCTGAGGCTCCAGCACTTTGTGCAGAGGGACCAGCTCTGGGTCCGACCTCGTGAGGACAGGGAGGGAGTGCAGTTCAATACGCCGGTGCCCTTCAATAGAGGGTAAATAGCATAGAGCACTGAGAGGGGCTTGGTCCTGAAAGGAGACGTTACGAATTAACCGTCAATCATTGGGATATTGATCCCAGGGCAATTAAGAGAGAGAGATTAGTTTCCCTTGCCCCCAACCCAAATATAAAGTGACAAAAATAGCATTTTTTAAATATCAAGTTATTTTTTTACATTTTAACAGAAAACTTGAGATAGTGTTTCTGTCTTTCTAGTAGACACGTTGGCCACTATTTCTGCACAGATTTCAGTGGGCAAGTGCATGAGGAGGCACTTTTTCCACCTCACTGATGATCTTTGCAGTAACTGAATTTTGTAAGAGTATTTGGAAATCTTCATGAGTCAGTCTTCCAGTGTATTTGAAAATAATTGGTTTTTCTCTTACTTCCCTTCATCTCCTGTGAGAGAAACATTTGCAATCAGGAATTCCGTGGACCTGGCTAAATCATATCATAGAGTCATCAGGAATGTCTTAAATATTAAAGCCAACTACCAGTGTCCCTGGAGCCCTGACACACTGTGCCAGTGTCCCTACTCAGGATCCTCCATCAGCCCTGCTAATGGAGCAACCCAGCAGCCTCCCCTTGTAAAGAAAGGTAAGGGTTAGTTAGTTCTTATTTTATTCCAGTTAATTAAAGGACAGCTGAAAATCCTGCATTTTCAACACATGGTTCCAATTAGTGCAGCAGAGCAGGACCCTGAATTTGATAAAAGCCCTGACGTGTACGTTTGGTGCCTGTACAATGTACTCTTTCATTTTACAAGGTGGCTGAAGTGCAACTTTAAATATCTTTTTTAAATGTTAACAAAAACCCAGGGGTGTAAGCTTAGAAAAAGGTGAAGAGAGGCGAATACAGTGTTTTTCCAATGGCCTGCCTGAGTCTTTTAGAACCCTTTCTGCAGAAAGAGCCTTATTTGGTAAAATCTGCACCAGCCATTCACAGGCTTGTGTGCAAAGAGCATTATGGTTCATGAGACTTTTGCTCAGAGGCCATGAGATGGGAGGTCCATCACCTCAGGAAACACCACCTACTGTACTATACATTTGCTTCATGTGACCCACCTGCTCAAAAGGCAGTGGGAATCCCAGTCAAATACAGGGTTCCAGGTCCTGCTATAGCCGATAGGACATCTGCCTTCAGTGGGACTCTCTCTGGGTGACTTCTGGAAGGTCATGTTATTAAATAGGAAGGTAAGACTGGCGCCCTAGCATCTGGGAATTAGGTGTGGATCAGCCTGATGAAGGTCATCACTTCCCACCTTCTGCCAAAGGGAAGGGGGCTAGCAAGAGGAAAGGCTGAGAGGAGAAAAGTAAAGCACTTTACGACTGCTGCTCACAGTGTGTGTTTCCTGCTGTCCCAGGAACAGTGAGATGATT